TACTTTGGGGCTATGCTAATTGGTGTGAGTGTTGGAAATATTTATTTATTTATTATGGTAAGCGTCCACCATAGCCACAGAAGATTGCGATTTATTTATTATTTCTAAGCATTCTCAGCATCGAGTATAGCGTGAATTGTATCAGAGAATATGAGCAGCAAGATAAATACGCTTTTAATATGCATCTTATATTATCTGACTGACATGACGCCATGCTGGCATCGTCTTAGTGAATGCACTTTTTTTCAGACACGACAAACTTCCATTCTTCCGTTCAATTCAATGATACACCACAGAGCTAGAGTAACACAGCGGCACTCTTTTATTCCCTTGTCTAAGGAAAAAAGGTACCTGGGTTGGGTGGGCGCCAAAAACATGCAGTGCAGGTACTTATATAAAAAAATCGCATAATTACACGTATATTAATAACACGGACCTCGTAGGAATCCTGACAACCTTATTCTATCCTTATGTTTGACTGCAACCCTCTAAAAGTCACGCTCATATACAAATGACAATTAAATTTAATGCTAGTCAAAATTTTATTGCTCACGTCGCAATATGAGCTTTTATTAGACTTAAAAATTTATTAAAGTCTTCGGGAGGGTCAGAAACTTTAAGGGTGAAAGTAGGTGCGTCCTGAGGCGGTCGCCCCAACTTGAATCGATAAATTTGTTAGCAGCATGAAAACTCTGGTTAGCAGCATGGGTTTTAGAGTACAGCGAGAAGAGTGTTGCCCTAAAAGAATTTCTATGTAAGAATTGCGAGAAATAAAATGACTTCGTGAAACATGAATGAAACTGAAAGTTAGTCAGTTGATCTTAATCTTAGTAGTACGGCGGGCTGTTTCCGCAACTCGACACTTGGCATCAGTCCTGCCATCCCAGGTTCGCCAAACAGCTCAGCAGTCAGTCAGTCAGCTCAGGATGTTGCTGCAGGCCTCTACTAGTGTCCGCGGACTTCCCATTAGAGAAGTCCTTTGTCTTGCAACGCCTCTGCACTCCAGCAGAATATGGGCGCTCGTCTCCTCCTCCTCCAGGCAGGATCTGCACAGAGGGCTATAGGAAATACCTATATTACAAAGGTGTTTGTTGAAGTAGCCGTGACCCGTGAGTATACCCACGATTTGTTTTAGGGCTTGTCTAGGTAGTCTGATTAACTTTCGTGATAGCTGCAGGTTTACCTTAGGAACGGCTTCTCTAGCTTGCCTGCAGTTCGTGAGATTTGCTCAGTATTCGTCGTGTTAGTCAGTTGACCTATAACATATCGTGATCATCATCGGCATGGTAGAGGAGATACCATCCGCCTGGAATACCTCTAGAGCAGTGGTTCTCAAACTTTTTAAATGACGGAACCCTTTTGGGAAGCAAAATACTTGATGGAACCCTACAATAAAACAATTATTTTTATAAGTGTATTCTATATTAATCAGCATAATAAAAGTACAATGTATCCGTTACTAATTATTATTTACTTCACCACTTGGTAAGGACAATAATAGAAAACATTAAAAAAGAAAAAATCTAACTAGTGGGAGGTATGAAACTGTTTTTTATTTTTCATCAATTGCTTGATATCAGGTTTGATGGAAGAAAGTTGGAGTCTCATATCAGCTTCGGCGTCCAGTCTATTGCGATATTTTGTTTTCGTGGCTGCGTAGGTAGAGAATCCTGTTTCGCACAAATATGTAGTTGGGAACGGGAGAAGAATATCCAGAGCCATTTGGCCAAGCATTGCATATTCATCTTGGATTCTGCACCAAAAATCATTAAGAGGCGTCGTTTTGAACAATGACTCCATACTTGTGTCTGATGACATTTCTAAAAGAGATTCATATATCTCATTTGACATGTTTTCAGGCTTTTCCAAGTTGGGTAAAAAAGGATTATGAATCCAGGAGTTCACTTTAATTTTTGTATTGTGTTCTTCGGGAAAATACTTTTCAAAAGATGCGCGCATCGAACTGAGATATTGGACCAATTCTTCAAACACATTATCTTCAAACATTTCTGAGTCGTTTTCGCTAACAAACTCAGTGAGTAACGTAAAACTTTCTATTTCTTTCTTACCAATGCAAATGATCCAAAAATCTAATTTTCTTTTAAAAGTAGTTATTTTATTATAGGCCTGAAACACTGTTGTCTGTTTACCTTGCAATGATAAATTTAATTCGTTAAGTTTTTGAAAGATATCCGCCATAAAAGACAATCGGAACAACCAAGTTTTATCATACAAACGGTCCTTCAAATTAAAAGAAGTATCTGCTGAAAGAAACATTTGTAACTCGGCTCTAAGTTCAAATAGCCTTGTTAAAGTTTTTCCCCGAGACAGCCATCGCACTTCTGTATGGAGCAGCAGTGTTTTATGTTTGCTGCCATAATCTTCACACAATAATGAGAACAATCGGGATTGTAGTGGTCGTGATTTGATAAAATTAATTATTTTTACCGCTTCATCCATAACTAATTTTAGATTAGACGGCATTTGCTTCATCGCAAGTGCTTGTCTATGCAGAATACAATGACTGGAACTACAATTAGGCGCTTTATTTTTCATTCGTGACACTGCTCCTGCTGTTTTACCTGTCATCGCCTTGGCCCCATCTGTACAAATGTCAATGCAATTGTTCCAACTGAGATTATGTTCTTCAAAAAATATATTTATTTTATTAAAAATTTCTTCCCCGGTAGTGTTTGTAAGCAGCGATGAACACATAAGCATGTCTTCTTCAAAAGAACTTTTATATGGATATCTCACAATAACCAGCAGGATAGCCAAACCAGCGACATCAGTCGACTCGTCCATTTGCAAAGCGAATCGTGTATTTTGTAGACGTGTAACTAGTTCTTGTTTGACGTAGCTTGCCAGATCATGGATTCGTCGTGAAACAGTATCGTTTGATAGCGGAACAGTAGAAAGATGCTTTGCAGATTTTTCATCAAGCATACATTTTGTTATGTCTAATACACATGGTTTTATTAATTTCTCAGCGATAGTGTGCGCTTCACCTGCTTGTGCAATGCGATAGCTAACTAAGTATGATGCCTCCGTGGCCTTTTCGTTGGTAGTTTGTGTTACATGCATCATATTTTTTTGACTTTCTAATAACTGATCTTTTTTGCGAACAAAAAATTCTTTATTCTTGTCTTTAGTCTCGGGGTGTACGGTTTCTAAATGTCGACGCAATTTGGCAGGTGCCATGGAACTATTAGGAAGCAGTTTACTACAGAGCATGCAGAGAGGTGAGCCGTTGGAATCAACAAATCCGAAACTGATATAAGATTCATCATACTTCCTTTTTTTCGTCTTTGAAACCGTCGAGCTTGACGTCGTGGCACTCGTGGCATCATCTTCTGGATCGGTGATTGCTAAATTCTCCGCGCGCATTGCTTTTGAACATTCAGCGTCATTAGAAGATGTTGTTGGAACACGTTTAACACCTTTAAGCCAACGTTCCATTCTTCTTTATTTATAATGTTACAAGTCAGGATAGTGGGGTTTAAATAATGCACAATCGTTACTGCGTATAAGAGACTAAATTTAGAACCTACAGGGAAGAAATGTATAAAACTGAGACAACAGAATACAGCAGGCAGTAAAACAATGAACACCAGTTTCTCGCTAGCGACCTTGTAAGTAGGTAGTAACTTATCGCTCCGAACGCTAATCATCAACTGACGACGCCAACGCGCGATCGCCGCTTTTATACTTAGTCCTAGACTCGATCTCAAATATTCTCGAAAATACTCGAGTCGGCACCTTTGATAAACAAAAAGCAAAAATAAAAACAGAAATTTAAAAATAGCGTTGTAAACAATATCGACTTTATCCTTTGAAGTTAGAGACGAAAGTCGCTAGTTGACAACTATAGCGTCTAATTCAGAGGCGGCTTTTATCAAAGAGACTGAGCGCTTACAAGTATACTACCCGCTCGTTTTAAGTTTGCCGCTGGCGATAGGTATGAGTGTATGACGTTCGAAATTTTTTATTTAATTGTAACAATAAAAATTGTGTACGTTAGATATTTGGGTAAAACTATGACACATTATAAGTTTTGTTGTCACGTGGGGGAGGGTACGCGCATTCCACAGACCGGCAAACTTAGAGCGAACGCGTTGTACAAGTATAAAATTGTTGAGACCAAACTTATGAGATATTGTACCAGCTAATGTAACACAAGCTTATACAAATACAAATAAATAAATAAATAACATTCATAGCGTTTTGTCTCCGCGCGGCCGCGGAGTCCGCACAGCCGCGGAGCGACCAGAGAGAGGTGTTTTGATTTTTTATTTCTAAATTCTTGCGGAACCCCGACAGAGGTATCACGGAACCCTAGGGTTCCGCGGAACACACTTAGAGTATAGCTGCTCTAGAGGCACATGCCAATTCTCGGCTTGAAGTCCCCTTAGCATTAGGATCGCCTTCCCCAAACCCGGTGACGCTGTAAAGGTCATCTGCGACCAACAGCATATACACTCAAAAAAAGGCATGGTAGGTATAGGTAGCCCTTCTGCGCATTGTCTGCTATAACTTACGCTATAAGTAGCACGTCGAAGTTCACGGTACATCGATTATTATCGATTTTAAGATTCCAATCCCTGATTAAGGTCCAGGACTTGGCTCAGGGCAGCGGTAATTACAGGTAGGGCAAAAGCAGGGGCGTATTTTTAAAGCCTTTTGCCTTTTCACGGCTTCTGCCGCTTTGCAGTCTGCGTTTTAAGGTACGGCAAGGTAGGGTATTATTTATAGCCCCATAATCTACTACATAATCTGTAGGTATCTACTTTGATTCTTAAATAAGTCATTGGTATAGAAATTTCAATGACGTCATATAATTCTAAGTTATAAATTATTTTTTTAATTAGTTTAGACAAATAAAACAGTTTTTGTTTTCCTTAAATAGCATTTTTATCAATAATATAATATTAATTTATTAAAAAAAATGTGAGCTGTCACGAGACGCCTGGCAGATGTGACACATCGACATTATTTTGTAAAAGTAATTTGGAACAGATTGCGATAGGAACTAAATATGGCATAATGATAAAATAAAATATTACGTTTTTTTCCAGAGAATGATGACTGTTTATTTAATAAACATTTATTTTCATTAAATACAAAAATCGAATTCTATTGCGCATGGCGACGCGTCGCCACACCGTACACACAAATGCATATAGACTGTAAATATATATTTATATACCATCATAATCGCGTGGCGACGCGTCGCCACGCCAGAAATTACGTGCGCCTATAGATGTTTCACATCAAAAATCTCATCTCGATTCTATCCAAAACAGGTAAAAAGACTTATTTATAGCTTGAGTACTTTGCGACAGTTGCGTTGGCTGACGTATGCTTCGTTTCGTTTACGATCGAAGTTCGACCGACCGAACGCCGAACAAGCGAGTCGCGGACCGACTCGATTGTCGATTCGCTCGACTCGACCGACTTGACTCATTTCATTCGTCCGCCCGCCAGTTTCGAGCGCGCCGCGCGACGCTCCGCATGCGTGGAACGTAAAAAGCAATAACGGTTATTCGCTGCAAAATATCCGAACGATTGTAAACTTTATTGTTCCCGTGTTATTGTTGCAAATCGGTCGGCCGTGCTATTCTAACATTCGGGTAATTAGTGTATTCTCATTGTTATCCTATTGTGATGATGTGAATGTTACATAAGGAGCGGTTGGTTGCAAAAGGTTTTGTGAATGTGCCCATGGCATGGTCAGAGCAGAGCTTAATGCCCTATTATATCTACCTACGTGGTTACAAAAATTACTATCGAAATGCACGTGTAATAAAAGCTGTTTGATCTTTATCAGATTCAAAACCATCTGTTTCTTCTAAATTTATTTTATACATTATTTCAAGTTCCTACTTTAGTAGTTACCTATCTTTTTAGCTAGAGTACCTGCTTCAATGTTTATTATTATTTTTATTATCCTACCTGTTGCCATTCGTTTTGTATTAAAAAAAACAATATAACATTAAATTCCCTTTTTTCAGGTAAGGGGGACGCTATGGACCACGCAGACAGTTGTGTGAAGTGCTAGTGTTGTGCGTAACGGTTATCGACAAGTTTGTTTCTCTGTGGATCAGCTATGATGTGAGACGGTTTTTGTGAAGTGCCAAAATGCCTTCGGAAAGTGGTTCTGCGTGGTCGCCACCGGCGTCAAACAGTGAGAGGAGATTGAGCAACTCATCAGATGGCAGCGCTTGCAGCGGTTATTCTAAAGCTGTAAGTAATGTCACAACACTATTTCGCTTCAATTTTAAATGTACCGCAACACGCTGTTGTAAGTAGACTGCAGAGCTAGGCGCCTAATAACACTATGTCAAGTCAACTGGAATGGTTTACCTAATAGGTCAAGTGAGAAATATCGATTAAAGTCATCTTGTTAAGTGAATGTTGCCGAAAAAGCAAATTTTTCCTCAATCGAATCGAATTATAATTTGCTCTAGTCAGCATACTTAAAAAAAGAACGCAGACTATGTAACAGATTTAATAGGAACTGTTCTTTTGAAAGGGCATGTGAGATTGGTTCAAGAGGTACTTAAATACCTACTTATCGATTATATTGCTGGGTGTGTCTGTCTATCAGTGATCGGTCGATTCAAATAGCAACCCGGCTCGAACAGCAGTTGCACAAACGACAATGTTATCTATAATGTAATGCACCTACAGTATTATTTAAGAAACAGATTGATTGTAGACGACAAGCCTTAGTCCTAATGTTTCAAAGAAATGGTTTCAACATAGCCACCTCAGCTCCTTGGCCTAGTGAACAAAATTATTAACAGCGGAAACGCGACGAGACGGAATGTAGTGGCGGTCAGACAATGTATGTCGGTTCGCATTTGGTTTGGATGGAGTATTGTAATGAATCAAATGAGTTTGAGTCGAAATTTTGTTTCAAAAAGATTGCTGTATGTTCTTACAAATCTTATGAATTGTGAAAAAAATTATTGCTTTAGTCCAACTAAGAGGTGCTCAAACTTGAACTGCTGGCGATCAACCTCAAAATTTTTAGACTACTTACGATCGACTCTGAGAGGCTGCAAGTAAGTGTGATGCAGGGTTGTCGTACATACACGATACACCAGTCGATCGCAATCGACCGTTTGAGCATCCCTGGTCTAACTGAACGAGAGTTAGGCCATTTTTTATTCTTTGAAGAAATACAGACGTATAATTACTCTTAAGCATAAAGAAAAATGCACCAACATTGACAAGATTAATATTAACAATAGACGGTACCTAGGACCTTTCAGTATCAATAGTAAAGAGTTGGTAAACGACTGCCGCGCCTGTTAAACATTGTATACAGGCGGCTTCTGAAAACAAACATAGTACCTATAGGTACCTACGGTAGCTAGATTAATTAGGTGGCTAAAATGGTTTTTTTTTAATGAGTGTGGTTAGCGCGTTCGGCTGCGATCGTTAAAGGCAACTTTCGTAGTGGTCTGTCATCGGATGGGTGACCAAAAATTTACTATCCCGAGCTCCTCCGTGCTTCGGAAGGCACGTTAAGCTGTTCGTCCCGGCTGCAACTGCAGTCGTTAGCACCCACCAATCCGCACTAGGCCCGCATGGTGTGTCATGACCCTATCTCCCTATTCCATCCATAGGGAAGGCCTGTGCCCCAGCAGTGGGGACATTAATAGGCTGATGATGATGATGATGAAGCGTGCTCTCCATTTACGCCGCGTCTTTATTTTTCAGCAGTCGGGATTTGACCAAACGCGAGCCCTATAGCTTAATATAAAAGAATTTTTATATATCTGTAATTAATAAAATCAAAAACTAATTGACAAATTTCAAAAATTATTTCCCCATTTGAATTGTAACCCAGAGCAACATAGACTATTTTCATCGCGTTAATTTAAAGTTTACTCGCGCAAAGCCGGGGCGGATCGCTAGTTTATGATAAAAACTTTAATATAGTATGTGATATGATAATAACTTTAATATGAGTTTAATCCAGTGCTCATATTTTATGTGACTTGGTGAAAAGGCATAAATTCTTTTGTAAAAAGATTTACCTAATAAGTATATATATAACCTTAAAAAGTGAATGTTCACCATTTCCCTCATTCCATTGCAACTCCATATAAGTAGATACCTATATTATTCATTCAAGGCGTCTATAAATATATATAAACATTTAATTGAATCATTCTACGTACAAGTAATTTGCATTTAATATTTTTTAACAAGGATTTATATGATTAATGGCATTCTATCTGCCAATAACAAGTAAGATGATTATTCAAATTTAAATATGCTTACGTATAGGCAACGCTTACGAGTACAGTTTGTATTTTGTCCTCTATGGCAAAAGGTGTGAGTTTCTGTACCCCTAGCACGAACCATTATCGAATTCGAATAGTTTGCGAGTGCGAAATGTCAATGTCATTTTGTCGGAAACTTAAAAAGCAGCGCCCCTTCGTTCGTGCTAGGGGTACCTACCGATCGATCTTTTTCTGTCACAAAAAAAACAAAATGAAAGTCAAGATTAAGTTAACAGAAAGACGCGTCGAATGACTCTTTATAAATTACTAGTTGTACCCCGCGGCGTTACCCGAGGTTTATTAGGGATATTTTCCCGCAGTAAAACGTAGCCTATGTGTTAATCCAGGGTGACAGGCAGTCCATACCAAATTTTATTAAAATGCTGCCACCCTGGATATAGGCTACGCCTATGTGATAGGCTACGTCTATGTGATAATCATGGGTGACAGCTAACTCCCATAGCATATTTTATTAAAATTGCTCCAGCCGTTTAGACGTGAAGAAATAACAAACATACACACTCACAAACTTTCGCCTTTATAATATTAGTGTGATGATTGCATAATATATACGAAGGAAACAACCAACTGGATAATAAAATAATTATTAATTTTAAATTTTTAAGTTTATTGCTTGATTTTAAACTTACAAAGATAGTCATCTTCCTACTCCAGCGTGATATGGCTATTTTTTTTACAATGCCAAGATTTTTTAAAATTATTGTTTAAAGGGTGGCAAACAAGCGAATGGCTCGCCTTTTCCGACGACCTCCGTGGCCGAGTGGTTCGTACGCCGGGTTTCATGGTGTCGCTGACTCGGGACCTCTCGAATCGGGTTCGAATCCCGGTGGGGGAAGATGTTTTTTTGTGATAAATACGAGCATTTGTACTCCAGTGATGGATGTTTAATATGTATTTCAATATAAATCTTTATATATATAATTCTTCTGTGAGTGTGTATGTCACTGAACTTCTCTTAAACGACTGGACCGATTTTGATGAAATTTTTTGTGTGTGTTCAAGGGGATCTGAGAATGGTTTAGATTCACAATTTTGTCCGCTGGACAACCCCTATCTTTTTAGGGCGATACGAAGTTCGCTGGGTCAGCTAGTATACTTATATATGTACAGCTTAAGTATTCTTTCCGTTACTCTAGCATCCCGTAACACAAGCCTCACATTGGGGCTAAGCTAATTGGTGTGAGTGTTTGAAACATTTATTTATTTATTATTATTTATTATGGTAAGCGTTCACTATAGCCACAGACGATTGCGATACACAAAAAATATCACTCGCACCCAGTGCCGTCTTTTACCTATTGGAGGCCCTGGGCACATTAGGATAATGGGGCCCCTATGACTTCCGTTTGGTGATTTAACAGGAACTAGGGACTTTGTTTTTGATCTGAGGGGGCCCTATCGTGCGAGTCGCACCGTTGCATACCCTGACCCAATCGCCCTAAAACCTTACTATAACTTACATTGTTTTACTGTGATCTTCTTTCTTTCTTCATTCCCTCTTAATTCTTCATTAGGTGGAGCTATTTGCCAATAATCCTCGTAATGGAGCCGAAAACGTGTTTAAAACTTTTATAGGATGTTACTTAATATTATAGCTATTAACGGGATTGTTACCATGTACCTTGTTTTTTAGTCTCCGATATTTCGGCACTGTTGCAAGCGCCATATATAACAAATGCGAGTGAATAGTGAGAATGTGAGCCGTGGTAGGGGTATCGAACGCAGTACAAGACGACGTCAGAGGGTAGACCGATGTCTGCCAATAACATCTACCCGCAATTACTTCAGTTACTCCGTGATCATGGCGCTTGCAACAGTGCCGAAATATCGGAGACTCATAAAAAACAAGGTACATGGTAACAATCCCGTTAATATCTAAAACTTTAGTGACCATGAAAGTTTAAAACAATGTAACTTACATTCCAAGAACCTTCAAATAATTCCAATTTTAACATTAATTGTACTTTTTGTCAACAAGACTAAATTAAACTTAAAACCGCTTTCTTAAATTCAATCAACTGAATATGAGTCGGTATAGCCAATGACGTCAGAATAGGTAATTATCAAACTTTAATTTTGTGAACTCGGAAATTTTACGTGCTTGTTACCGAAACTGTTAAATTAAAAGTGAAGGGACCAGGGACCGGACTTCACGAAACGTCATTAAAAACAAAAACGATATCCGTTAAATGCATTTCAACTTCAAAGTGTATGTGTATATTACATCAATTACATGAAAGTTAAATATGTAATTTTAACTTCAAAAAGTAGGTGTATATTAACATCAATTACATGAAAGTTAAATAATGATAATAATACCAAAACTTGAGGTAAAATTACGTACTTAGAATACATATTTCACAAGTACGATGAAAATTGTATTGAAATATTTTTTAAATAGGTACCATCATTTATTGAAAACAGTATTTTTACTTTTCCTTCTTACATAAAGTATGACTACTATTGTTAGTAATTTTGATGTTATTAATCCATCCATACTAAAATTAAAAGTCGAAAGTTATTTTATGTGTTTCTTTTCCACACTCAAACCCCTGAACCGTGTTTTATGAATTTTAGTACTCATATAGCTGCTATATCAGTTCTGAATAGGCGCAGAGGTTAATAAAAATTAAAATATTGTTGGTTGACATACCTACTTATGTATATAATATGCAACCGCTAGTACCAATTAAAAAATGATTATCAATCCTATAAGCACTACAAGCAGGTTAGTAGGCACTTAGTCAATTGTCAATCGTTTATTTCAAACTTAGTCGCCCTGTGTGGACGCAGCAAATTGTTAGAGGGCTTATAAAATAAAATTAATAAATTAAGAAATCCTATAAAAATGTTAAATCGTCATGTCAGTATTATAAATTAGGTAATAAATCTATTTTATTAAATTTAAATATAGTCAATTAACTA